CTTCTTCAGGGAAAGGGTCTTTCAGCCAAACTCACCCTCCAGCGACGCTGTACTGGCAGGATGGATGCTGACTTTAATACCGTTTTCCCTCTTCAGGACTTCTTTGGGTGAGTCTTATAGCTTCCTTCTATTTATTTTCTGAAGGATCCCACCTTCATCGCCAGTGTTAAGTCCTTGAAGTAAAGGTGAACAATGAAGACACATTTCTGCAGAACAATTCTTTATTGTGTTTTTAGTCAAAACTCCAACAACGAGCAAAGGCACACAGGCCTCCTTTTATACGTCCAAAACCCCAGCCACAATGGCAATATAGTCAGGCACGTTTTGCGCCTTGCACATGCGTGCAAGGCTGGCGCCACTCAGTCTGGTCCCGGGCAGCTTCTGCAAAGCCTGGGACCGTTGCAACATCCCGAGCCTGCATTTGCAGGCTCAGGACACAACAGAAAACGTTACATTTTTTCAAAATTAAATGTAAAGAAATGAAAGGTAAGTATGGCAATGGTCTCAGTACATGCTTCACCTTCTCCTTTGAGGGGAAGCAATTGCATTGAGAGTCAGTTTGTTGTGGTGAGTAAGACATCAGGTTGGAAATTGAGAATACTAGTCCTGCCTCAGAAGAAAAGCTTAGTGACCTTGGGCCAGTCATTCTATCTCAGCCTTTGAAAGGAAGCAGTGGCAAACCACTTCCAAATATCTTGCCCTGAAAATTGCAGGAGCTTCTTTCAGGCAGTTGCCAGGAGTCAAGATTGACCCAAAGGCCTAAACAAGCAAACAAACATTGCCTCTCCATAAAAGCTATCATCCAAGAATGGCTCAACATTTTAAATAAAAAAATACATCAGTAGTTTTCATCCAAGGCAGTACAAATAATCAACTGAAAGTTAACTCAATTATTTCAGCATTTTCTGAAATTCATTATCTGCCTTTTGGCACCAGGGTATGGGACTGGGTTTTTATATTTGCATTCATATAAAAGCATATTCATATACATAAGTACTATACTTCATTATTCTTAACCCCTGATTTGTTAATAAAGGAGAATGTGATGAAGCATGTGCTGCAATGCAAACCATGCTCCTCACATACCTATGTATGTCATTATACTGCAAGTATGAGAGGACAAAGTTTGCATTTTAATGTTATCATTTTGAAGTCAGCATGGTTAGGAATGGATACCTAGGCATGGGATATTCCAACGGTCTGCTCAAATGTTCCTATAAACAACTGATAGCCACCTCAACAAATACTGTTGTTTTAGAATCATCTAGGAAACATTATAATGTTGATTGTAATTCAAGGCTTTCAAATGAGCTGATGCACCTGAAATGCAAAGGTGCTTTCAATGGATGTACAATCAATCTGCATTTTTAGGCAATCCCAATTACTCCAGTGGTAATTAAAATGGTTTAAAAACTTGATTGGCAATCAGCTGACTTTGAGTATTAATAATTAATTAATAATTTAAAACAGGCATGCTCTTCCCAAACTGGGCTTATCCCAAAGCTTAAGTGTCAGTGAAATACTTCAGAATTGTACTTATATCCCAATTCTTTCAAATATTGCAGCCTTTACTGCTGGAAATACTGTGGATGTGGATGATGTAAGGGAGGATCTTAATGATACTGACAAGATTTCCTGTCCTGGAGGATTCGTATGACAATTTTTTTTTTCATCTTTAGACAAATGTGGTTTATGAACAAAGTTTTATGCTTTTATTTTTAAGGACTTTACAAAACAGCCTCCTAATTTCTGAACCAATGCTCTAGCTTTCATTTATTTGCTTTGATTCTCATTTGGATTGTCAAAATTCCTATGAGAAAAAATAAAATAAGTCCCTTTGCAACCATTATGCTCAACATAACTAATAGGCAATTGTCATAATTTCCTAACTTTCAAACCACTAATTAGAATGTACATAACATTTTTTCTTACAATTGCATAGTCAAGTGGAAACTCTGACTATACCCCAACAAAACAAAACAAAACAAACCACACTTTTTGTCAGTCTTTTGCTACTCTGCATTTATTTATCCACTATATATATTAAACTGTTTTCAGAATCAGAAGATATGTGCATAAATTAAAAAATAAATAAAACATAATATTGCAATATAGGAAAATCATTTTCCATAAACATTCAAGTGTTGTTTTAGACTTTTATGTTTTTATTAATTTTTTAACATAATCACCTTAATATTTGGTAAACAGTGCGTTGTCTGGATTTACATTTAACAAATATTCACTAACTATTAAATTCTATAGTCTATAATCCACATGATAACTTTACATGATTTCCTCTTTTCCCCATAGTGTTCTCTTTTACCAACCTTAAGTTAATACAATTCTTATTGTTTTAATAGGTGATAATTAAATATAAAAGTTTTCTAATATTTCTACAAATAATAATCACATCAGTATAGTATTCCTTTTCTATCTAGTCATTCTGGTTGTCTCATCATATATCCTGTTTATAGTTCTTGTTTACATTTGTTTTTCCCACAATGTTCTAAACATTTTTACTGGTTAGTCAAAAACACTATTTTAAGCTGATCGTAAACAGCGTGCTTGAATCTGGGGAAGAACATTGACTTTCTCTATCCTACCTATTTATTTTATTTATTTATTTATGAGACTTATATACCGCTTTAAGTGCAAGCACTCTCTAAGCAGTGTATACCAGTAAGCAATGTATATATATTTACATTGCCCCCAACAATCTGGGTCCTCATTTTACCTACCTCGGAAGGATGGAAGGCTGGGTCAACCTTGAGCCGGTGAGATTTGAACCACTGACCTGCTGAACACAGTCAGCTAAAGTGGCCTGCAGTGCTGCACTCTAACTGCTGCGCCACCTTGGCTCTTGTCAACTTTCCTGAAATTTTTTCCCAAGAAACAAAAAAACTCTGAAGTGAAGGAGGGGGGATTTCTGTCCCACTCTTTTGCTAACAGAAGCAGAGAATTGAACCTTTTATGGAGAACTAAAATCTGAAAAATGAACAAGTGCTGACACCTACTGGTAGATGAGGATTATGACAGCTATGGTTTTGATATAGGACTTGGTAAAATCTGGAAAGAAACTAATCTCTACTTGTGACCTTCAAAGCTTTAACAATAGAGTACAGTTGTGACAAAAAAGAAAATAATCTGGGCTATAGATAAAGTGAGACTTACAAACTTTAGGGAACAAAAAAGAGAAACTTTTTGAATTTTCTGGATTATAAGTATTTATTTAACTCTGACCTCAAAGCTATTTTCAGAGGGGGAACAATCTGGATTTTGGGATCATCATGGAAAATCAGAGATTTATAGAAAGAACTGATCAAGAAGAAATAAATACTTTTCAAGAGGAGACATATGATATGTTGAAACTAATTCAAATAACAATGATTTCAAACCACAAAGAAATCCAAAAGAACTTTGAAAATATAAACCAACTCATCTCCAATTCAATTTTATACAAAAAAAAAAAAAAAAAAAATCCAAGGAAAATACAACAGAGAAGGAACAGATAATAACTGAACATAAATTCGAGGATAGAGACTTAAAGATGAAATTCTACAAAACAAAAAAGTATGATTTAATAAAGACAACCTATATTTCAACACTACAAAATAAATTTGAGAATAAGAAAAAAGACTGGATAAAATGGACTGCAGAGATTCCAAGGAAAACACTAGAACTGGATAGACAAAAAATGATAAGAGAAGCTGTTTTAGACTTTTAAACCTCTTCATGGCATACAGCCTAGTTAGGACTGCCTAATTTCAGCCATCCACCTCATTAGATCTAGCAGAAGAAACAAGCTGTGGGTCTTGTTTGTTAAGGAACTCATTTTGGCTGGCTGCTATGGCATCCACCTTAATAGATTTTCTTCTGTTTGAAGACTACTTCAAATGTAAATTATAAGAAACATGTGACAGATGTTTATGAACTGAAAAACTGAAAGCTGCATCAAATTGTACATAAACTACTATTATAATTTTAAGAATTGATTTGGTAAACTGGAGATCTATGGAAAAATAAAAAGCACTTAGGAGAATGTGGAGAGCTACTCTTGGGGATGATTCAGATGGATAGTGAAATATATTAGACATCTACTGTCTTCTGGCTTGGTTTTAAGTTCTATCTTCTTTTAAATACATTTATTCATACATACACACATAATCAAATACATACCAATTTTACTAACAATGTCTTTATGGTGGTTCTCTAGATTCAGTACATCACATGTCAGTTCACAGAAGCTTCAGTACTTTGGATATGCATGTCTTTTTAATAGGTATTGAGGAATTCTCTATAAATTTTAAGTTGCAATGTTTATTTTAATTGTTTTTAAGGTTTAGAATGCTTCTAAAACTCTTCTAAAAGATTTTCTGATAAACTCGGAAGAAACTTTTTTTAAATGATGGCCCATCATAAGCAGTTTAGTAAAATATTTCTTCCACAATGCACAAACCTATAAGGCCAAGACAAGTTATATGCATCGAACTGTATGCTGGAAAATCCAGATTATGATCCGAGACCATTGGTATTCTGCCATTAATTATTCATCTATTGGATGTTGGTTTTATAAGATTGATCAGACTAAGAATTCAGTGCTATGTAAATTAGTACTACTTTTATTGTAATAGCCTTGTAACAGAATCTAGCCAGTGTGAAGAGGTGAAGAGCCTATAGTGTTTCCCATTTATGTTTATGTTTATAACAACAACAACAAAACAACAACAAAACAACAACAACAATAATAATGATAATAATAGAATTGGAAGGGACCTTAGAGAACTTTTAGTTCAACCCCCTGCTCAGGCAGGAAACCCTATACAATTTCAGGCAAATGGCTGTCCAGTCTCTTCTTAAAAACTTCCAGTGTTGGAGCATTCACAACTTCTGGAGGCAGGTTGTTCCACTGATTAATTGTTCTAACTGTCAGGAAATTTCTCCTTAATTTTAGGTTGCTTTTTTCTTTGATTAGTTTCCATCCATTGCTTCTTGTCCTGCCTTCAGGTGCTTTGGAGAATAGCTTGACTCTGTCTTCTCTCTGGCAACCCCTGAGAAATTGGAACACTGCTATAATGTCACTCCTAGTCCTTCTCTTTATTAAACTAGACATACCAAATTCCAGGGTTTGTTTTACCCCCCAGTCCCTTAATAATCTTTGTTGCTCTTCTCTGTACTTTCTAGAGTCTGAACATCTTTTTTACCAAAAGCGGTGACCAAAAACTGGTGACCAAAACTGGATGCAATATTCCAAGTGTGTAACGTAGAAGGTGTTATAAAGTGTTTTATGTTTTAGTTGCTAAATGTTTTCAGATTAGGTAATTGCTAGACAAAATATGAGCAGGAGAAATTGTAATTGCTTCACTTCTCAATGCATCAAGGAAATAGCAGGAAAAGTAAATTGTAATTATGCATCCCTTTTCAAGGTACAACTACATATCAAGATTATTTCTGGAATACATATGTTTGGATTAGTCTAAAATTGATCTGTATTACCTACGTTTATTTTTTAGATGGTTTGCTATTTTTTTTTATTTTTCTTATTTAAACATGAACAAAGCTCAGTAATGTATATGGTTTTAATGCAATTAAACTACTGAACAATAATGGTTGATACTATAAAAAAGCTAAGAAAGAAATTAAATAATCTACTCTTTTGATCATCAGTCATTTATATAGTATATGCTATTTTTATGCAAATGCCTATGATATCCCTTTTTATACATAGTTTTCTTAATATACATTGTTTTACAAAATATTTGATCTGAGAATGATGTGTTATAGCTGATTTCTTTCACATCCCTATGAATTATATTCATTTATTTTGAATAGAAATCACTGCCAGTATTTTTTAAAATGTCACATATTTCCTGAAAGCTCTTTTGAGGGATTTGCTCACTTCCTTATTTCTCAGGCTGTATATCAGAGGATTGAAAAGAGGTGTAAAGACTGTGTAAAAGAGGGAGACAAATTTGTTCATTTTGCTGAGAGCTACAGTCTTGGGGTGCATATATACAACTATTAATGTCCCATAAAACATTGTAACAATTATAAGATGAGTTGAGCAAGTGGAGAAGGCTTTCTTCCTTCCTGTAACAGAAGGGATTCGCAGAATGGTGATGATGATGGAGATGTATGAAGCCAGGGTAAGCAAAAATGGAGGAAAGGTTGCCACAGAAGTAGTTACAAAACTGGACAAAAGGAGTAGATGGGAACCACAGCAAATGTGTTGCATCAAAGGCATGAAGTCACAAAAGAAATGGTTCATTTCACTTGGAGCACAGAAATTTAACTGTGACATTTTTATTGTAATTGTGGTGACCATAACCATGCCACTGAACCATGATACTAACACTAACTGAAAGCAGCAACGAGTATCCACAATAGATATGTAATGAAGTGGCTTGCATACTGCAAGGTAGCGATCATAAGACATCACTGCCAGCAGATAACATTCTGTTGCTACTAGAAATCCAAACAACCAGAATTGTACAATGCATCCTCTAACAGAAATAAGTCCATCTGCAGTTAAAAGGCTGACTAGCATCCTTGGTAGAAGGGTTGAGCTATAGCAAGTCTCTAAGCAGGATAAATTTCCCACAAAGAAATACATTGGGGTGTGAAGGTTGGGGTCTGAAGCAATAAGAGCAATGATGAGAATGTTCCCTATCATGGTCACAATGTAGATCATGAGAAAAAGTAAGAAGAGGAATAGCTGCAAATCCTGGAGATCATCAAATCCCAGCAAGAGAAAATGTGTAATGATGGTTTGGTTTTCTTGCTGTATGCTACACATGGACTGCATCTGCTGGAAATCAAATATAACATAACATTTAAAAAAGGCAACAGTTGCAAATAAAATATTGCATATACAAAACAGAAAAAGGATTAATGATTTATTTAAAAACTGTTAAATTTGCTATTTAATGAGTTACATGGAAACTTTTGACTGTGGCTTAGGTACAGTCATGATCAGAGCAACCCCCAAAGAAATCTTATCACAAATGTGTTGGGGATTTCTGGAAGTTGTAGTCCTAATGGATCTAGAGAGCACTAGATTGTGAGAAAGTTGTGCTTCATCCTCTCACATTTTGCCTTGGAGTATGAAACATGATATGATATCCAAGATCACTAAAATAAAGTACAGTTGTAAAACTACGGCATCTTTCATACATTCTTTTATATATACTGTAAAGCAATAATTTTGTAACAGTTGTGTTAAGGGTTAAACTTGGGTGTACTACTTTAATAAAATCCAATACTAATACCACTACAACTTAGATGCTATGGATTAGGATACATCAGCTTGTTCTCTGCCCTTAGTTTTTCTATTCTATTCTAGTTCATCATATGGAACTTATATTCTTCATAGATTACATTCTCATTCATGAAATGCAGGTCCCATTGTTAACAATAGTTGGAAAGCTCTTCATATTACCTAATAACAAACAGTTTGAGATACTTAATGAGATTTGCTTGCCTCATAGTATGTAGTATATTAAAGTAGAGATTGTTATTTAATTCTGCAATAACTGGATCTATTTTTTCTCTTCAAATGCACTCTCTGCAATACGTTTCCAGCTGTTTGAACTGAACATCCTTTAGTCCAAGATGCTCTGCTTCTATTTTTATATAGTTCCCCCAAGAAATCTGTTTTTCCCTCTACACTATTGCAATATGTAGACATTTAATAAGGTATTCCAGCTAGGAATGGACTGGGTAACTGCATACAATTTTTATGATTTTACAAAGAGAAATACCATTTTGGGAGAATGGAGAAGACGGCAGAAACTGTGAAATACAATTTTTTGAACCAGCTTTGCAAAATATTATATTTTTCTTTGACATGCAATCCTGAATAGGTTGAGGAGTTGTTGAAAAATTGTAGGTGGTAAACTTTTACTCCTGACATTGATTGAATAAGTATGGATTAGAAGAGTTTGTTGTAAAATTCATAAAGAATAAAATTCTTCTCAATACTCTTAAATAAATGAGAGAAGATTGGATAGTAAGCTGTTTGTAATTATAATTAGGATTTATTGACCAACAAAATAAAAAAAAATTGAGGGACAAAATTATACATGGTAGAGGAAACAGAGAAGTCACAGAAAAGCAGAACCAATGAAAAGCTGAAAATATAATATAATATAATATAATATAATAATAGAATAGAATAGAATAGAATAGAATAGAATAGAAGTGGAAGGGACCTTAGAGGTCTTCTAGTCCAGCCCCCTGCTCAAGCAGGAGGACCTATACTATCTCAGTCAAGTGACTGTCCAGCCTCTTTTTAAAAATCTCCAGTGATTTAGTGATGATTTCTGGAGGCAAGTTGTTCTACTGGTTAATTGTCCTCACTGTCAGAAAGTTTCTCCTTAATTACAGGTTGCTTCTCTCTTTGATCAGTTTCCAACCATTGCTTCTTGTCCTGCCCTCTGATGCTTTGGTGAATAACATGTTCCTTCTTCTTTGTGGCAGCCCCTCAAATATTGGAATACTGTTATCATGTCTCCCCTATTTCTTATTTTCTTTAGACTAGCCAAACCCAAATATTGCAGCTGTTCTTCGTATGTTTTAGTCTCCAGGCCTTTAATCATCTTAGTTGCTCTTCTCTGAACTTTTTCCAAACTTTCAACATCTTTTTTGTGATATGGTGACCAAAATTGGCTGCAGTATTCTAGGTTTGGTCTTACTAGGGTTTTATAAAGCAGTACTAATACTTCGTGTGATGTTGATCCTATGCCTCTGTTTATACAACCCAGGATTGTATTAGCTTTTTTGGCTGCTGCTGCTGGCTCATAGTCAAGTGATCGTCCACTAGGTCTCCAAGGTCCATCTCACAGTTACTGTTTTCAAGCCAGGCCTCACCCAATCTGTACTTGTACCTTTGATTTTTCCTACCTGAATGTAAGACTTCACTTTTCTCCACATTGAAACTCATTTTGTTGGATAGGGCCCATTGTTCAAGTTTGTCAAGATTTTTTTGGATCCTGAGTTTGTCTTCTTGGGTGTTGACTACTCCTGCCAGTTTGGTGTCATCTGCAAATTTGATGAGTTCCCCTTCAATTCCCTCTTCTAAGTCATTGATGAAGATATTGAAGAGTATTCAGGGCCACTTCTGTGAACTGAGATAATTCCATCCAAATATGAGTTTCACAGTGTTTGCTTTCTCTTAGTCAACTCCCTTTTTCTCCTTATATTTGTTCTGTAACTGGGCATAAGGATACTATATTCTTATAGCCTGCCCTTTTCAGTTCTTTTGACAATCACTCATTCCTTGCCACAGATCACACATTATTCATTATATGTCCACCAGTATTTACATTAAAATGTCTCCATCCATTTTCCCGTTTTCAATAATATTCTATAAAGGTACACAAAGATTGTATATTCACTTGCATTATTTTTTCACAGATATATCCATCTTTAGAGCCATGCTCCCAAGTTTCCCTGTCTAAAAGATTTTGGACTTTTCAGATCTATTGTCTTTCTTGCATCAAATACTCTATCTAAAATTCATTGCAAATAATTTGGGTTTCCTAGCAACAACAAGTTTTTAATTCTATTCGCTCTGCTGGAGACTCTTTGTTTAGCACTTTTCATGTATAATATTTCCAAAACCTTTTTTTATTTCCAGGAATATTGCTTGACATTTTATTTGTCTTTTTAAAATTCTTAATCAATCTTGGCTTTCTGGCTACATTCTTTGCAACTACCATTTTCTAACCCCCACACTGACTCTGAGTATTGTAGTACCTTTGCAAGATTTTTGGAAGTAGCTTGCCATTACCTTCCTCCTAGTGCTGAGAGAGCATGGCTGGCACAAGCTTACCCAGCTGGCTTTGTGCCAAAGGCAGGACAAGGACTCACAATCTCCCACTTTTGCTTGATGCTTTAATCTTTAAAATGAATTGGCTTTCATTCATACACATGATATATTTCTCTTATTCTCACTTTCAAGGCATTCATTCATTTTACAGTTGCTATTCATGAAATTGGAAGTAAAGTCTGTTGTTGAATTAGTTCAGTATTGGCATATCTCATTTTTAAAAGAATATTAAATTATGACTGATCTCAGCTCTCCCCCCCCCAAATGCCCAAATTCTTCTGTGCTGCCTTGCTGTGGTGGGAGGTGTTCATGGGGAGAATGTGTGAAGAATACTCAAAGGGTATGCCAAAAGAATCTTCATACAAAGACATGAAGGTCATCTCAGCTGCCCAGCTAAAGCGAGCAGGTACTTATATTAGGTAGCAGCATATGAAAGATGCTGGAGGCAGATAATTATTTTAGTGACAATGACAAAGGCGTCAATTCATAGCGTATGGGAGAAGACAGTGGCAAACTATTCTTGTATTATTACTATGAAAACCACATGAAGAAAATAAAAAAATGATTGATGATTGCAAGATGGCTAGATTCAGTTACAGTAACACGAGTGCACCATTGAAAGAGATGGAGGGCCAGATTAGGAACAGAGCATCATAGAGAAAATCTATCTAAGTCTCAACAAGATAGTTGAGCATCTAATCAAATCCAGTTGCTGAAGTTTTAAAACACTTATTATTTTTTAAAATAAAGATAACAGAACTGACCCTTTCCTATGGGAAAAGGAAAAAACAATAAATCAGGAGGGACATTTGTTCTGATGAAGTAGTAGATAAGGAAGAGAGGAAATAAAAACAAATAGCTTTAAGTTTTAGAACAGAAATGAATCTAGAAAGAAGAAAAAGGAACACAGACAGTTCAGGATAGCAGAGGAGTTTTGAGGATATTTGAGGAAAGAGAGCAGCTGGCTAGGCTCAGAGATTCAGATAGATACATTAGAAATGTTTAGGAAAATCCAGGACTGAAGACTAGACTGGAAATTTAAAAAACAAAATCCGAGAAAACATCAGCAACAACTATACTACTGACAAAAGAACTGCATAGAGGTGTCCATAAAGTTTCCAGGAATCAACTTCAGGTTAATCAAGTCTTTATTTTCAGATAAAACAACAAAAATACTGATATGGTCATTCTGAACATTTTTATTTATACATATTCCTATAGATCAGGTAGTAATTGGTTCAACAAGATCAGAGGCAAGCAGCCTGATTATAAAGACCCAACTCTGTAATGTTTGGTTTTTAATTTAATCTTCACTGATGGTCAGAGACTAACCATAGTTTACTTAACCAAGAGAAAGATTTTTAGGTGACCACAACCAACATAGATTTGCAGAAATTACAATGTTGGAGAAACCTGTTAAATGCATCATTAATAAAAGAAAATGCTTGTATTTTTTTTTTTTATAATTACATCTTCTTTAGAATAGTCAGCATTCATTCTGGATCAGTGCATATCAGTTGCCAAGATATTGTGAGAATACTACTACTGTTTTAATTGACACGACGCTGGAAATATGTCACACAACTAAATCTTTCTTTTTTTTTGCACTATTCCCATTTAGGTAGAGATGTTCCTATTGCTACTCATATGACCTTTCTTATAGGTTACATTAAAATAAACAGAGATACCCTACTACTGAGAAAAAAAAAATAAGAACCAAAGATGATCTCTTTTTGTCCAACTTTCAGCAAGGAAGAAATTGCTCTTTGATCAGTTTTCTTCAAGAGTACATATCAGTATCTGAATGTCATGGAACTGGGACTGGAAAAGAATCAGTAGTCCCAAAATAAAAGACTTAAATTCAAAGGACACCAGAAATAGTTGTATTTATAGTTCATTAGCTCTTCTTATTTAGAATTTTCTTTCAGTGGTTAGTTCAGTGTTTTTTCAGTTCTTCCATTATACCCCAATTTGTCAAAGATTGAATTATTTTTTGCAGGTAAAGCTTTGAGATATGGTATTTTTTCTTTCAAATGCCTAATAATTACATTTTTAATTACAGTGGCAAACTCTGAAATCATTATATAATCATGGCCATTAGTATTATAAACCGATTCTGGACATTAAAGAATTGAAATTACATAAGTCTGCACCCAAGTTGCAGATAAGAATGTTTTATTATGCCAGCAGATCAAGGAGATAACAGTCCTCTAAACATTTAAAACTTTATATTAATTTTAAATACTGACTTTTAAATATCTTGGAATTGGAACAACCCAGTCCAAGCTTTAAACAACTCAAGATATTAGACTTATATATACTGAACAGTATGAAAATTATAAGAAAATAAGAATTTGTATTATAATTGTCAACCTCATTACTACACTTTTCCCACGAAAAATAAGACATGACTTTTGATGATTAATTTATGATCTGAAAAAGTAAAAATACTTTAAAATGGATTTCCAAGATTATATTCAATGTAATATAAAAATAAAAATGTGGAGTGAATGTAGCAATATCTAATTTCAAAAGTACAGTCTATTTACCCCTATTGTCATACCTGTATTATTTGAAAGAAAAAAGGAAAGGGAAACATATACTTGGGCATTATTATAGGTCAGGAGCCAAATAATTTTATAGCAAGTTTCCCAACTGAATTGCAATATAAATAAACATGACAAAATCTCTTTTATTTTAGATAAAATGTTTGAATCTAAATTAGAGCAGTTGAAACAGAACTTCACTTCAATCAGTTGGGCAGCTATAATTTCCTAGTATGTTATACTGCATTCAGTGGAGTTTATATTAATGAAATATATGAATGCAAGTTTACATTATCTAGCTACCATTCTCTAGTTCTCACACAACACTATATTGGTGATCTTTCCTGGACTTGATTTAAAACCTGGTATTTAATTATCACAAGATAAGAATAGACTCCAGTCATAGCCCACTTCTAGTTGTATGAAAGTTGAATTTGCTTTAAATAAATGTAATACTCTTTCAGAGAAATGACAGAGTTTCATTAACAATTTGAATTCTTATGTATTTTATATCATTTTTGCAGATATCATTTTGTAACAATGGCCAAAAGTGAAGAACAAAATCAAACCATTACCAAATTTCTTTTGCTGGGATTTGGAGATTTTGGTGATCTGCAGTTTCTTCTCTTTGTCCTCTTACTGATGGTCTATATTATGACCATGGTTGGGAATATCCTTATCATTGTCCTGATTGTTACTGATTATCATCTTCACACTCCTATGTACTTCTTCCTGTGTAATTTGTCCTGTCTTGAGACATGCTATAGCTCTAATATTCTTCCAATAACATTGACCAACCTTCTATGTAAGGATCCAATAGCTATTTCTATAATTGGCTGCATGATACAATACTACTTCTTTGGTTTCTTGGCAGCCTCTGAATGTTACCTTCTAGCAGCAATGTCTTATGATAGATATGTAGCAATCTGTAATCCACTACTTTACAAAGCCATTATGAATGGCAGGGTTTGTCTGAAGCTTGTGGCTGGATCCTGGATAGGTGGCTCATTGGCTATTAATATAACTATGTATCTAATGTACCAGCTAAAATTCTGTGGCCCCATTGAAATCAACCATTTCTTTTGTGATTTCAATCCAATATTAAATCTTGCATGCAACAATACACATGTGATTGAAATTTTAACTGCATTATTAGCTGCTGCATGTTCATTGCCACCTTTTATGTTGACTTTGACATCCTATGTTCATATAATTTCTACTATTGTGAAAATGCCATCCGCCAATGGAAGGCAAAAGGCATTCTCAACTTGTTCCTCACACCTCGTGGTGGTGTCCCTTTTCTATGGTTCAATAATGATTGTCTACATTTTGCCTAAAACAGATGGACTGCGAGAAATCAACAAAGTCTTGTCTCTGTTTTATACAGTCCTGACACCTTTATTAAATCCCTTGATATACAGTCTAAGAAATAGGGAGATAAAAGAGGCTTTTGGAAAAGCAGTTACTAAATTATGTGCTGTTAAAAAAATACACCACTGGAATTTAGTTTGAATGTTTAATAAAATGCTAGTTGGGTTCCTATTTGGTTAAAGATGTTGGTTTATTGTCTCTTTCTCTTCCACTACACAAAGCAACTATTTTTTCAAAGGGTACATGTGATTAAGATGTCTTCTGTTGATTTAATTAAAATCTGGTGGATTCACAGTAAGACCATGATTTCTGCCGAAACACATTGCTGCTTTTATAATACTTCCTGGATTGACCATGCAACCATAATGTTATGGAAAGCTATGATAGCACCGAATGTATGAGGCAAATACAGTCATATCAGTTGAGTTTCTTGTAGTACTATTCATGTTGAACTCTGTCCCCTTCCACTTAATCTAATTTATACTATGGACCAAATAAATTAGATAAATAGATTCTGTCTTTTATAAATAAATAAATAAATACAACAAACAGATAAACCTTTTACTATATTATTCAAAGTATGTTTTACACATGTTATATTTAGAGTTTCCCCAGTAACTTAAAATGTATGTTCTCTACTTTCAGCTCAACAGATTGCAATTTAGCACAATATAATAATTTATTATCTTCATTTGCTTAAGCTTGTCTCATATATAAATATATTATTTAATATAAGCAGTATACTGATACTATATAAATACTAAATGTTTAATCAGAATATAATTGTGTGATGTGAAGTGTTGTGTCCTGAGCCTGCAAAGGCAGGCTCGGGATGTTGCAATGGTCCCGGGCAGTTGCAAGCTGCCCGGGACCAGACTGGCTGGTGCCAGTGCTTGCGCGCATGCGCGGGGCGCGCAGCACACCTAAATGTTGCTTTTTGGCTCGGGAATCATCTTTAAGAGAAGCTGAGAGGTTTGTTCTGCTCAGAGTTGTAACGGGGGCTACTGAAGACCAATAAAGAGTTCCTGAAACCACAGAATGTCTCGCGTCGTCATTGCCATTAACTGAGGACTCAACACTGGCGACGAAGGTGGGATTGCCTTACAATTACACAAAGGATTGTAAGCTTACCCTGGAGTCCTGAGACAGCGAGGAAACGGCATTAAATTCAGCAACTGCCTGCCAATACAGCTTCGTTGGAGGTAAGCTGGCTGATAGACCCTTCCTGCTTTACTGAAAATGGCAAAGATAGGGAAACTTTCTGAGTTTGATGTTACACATCCAGAAAGATGGGAATCTTATGTGGCCCGAGCAGAAAATTATTTCAGAGTAAATCAAGTGAGAGAAGAGGGCTTAAAGGCCGCCACCCTGCTGTGTGTTTGTGGTCAAGATGCATTTGAAATTGCTGAAAACTTAGTAGCCCCTGCACCTCTTGAATCTGTTACCTACACAGATTTAAAGAAATTATTAAAAGAGCATTTTCAGCCCAAGTTGTCTGTTATTGCATGGAGACATACTTTTGAACAGAGGGATCAACGGGCTGGTGAGTCAGCTAAAGAGTACATTGCTGCATTAAGAAGAGCAGCTAAACATTGTGAGTTTAAAGACTTAGAGGAAAGGTTGAGAGACAGATTTGTATGTGGGCTGAGAAACAGAGATGTGCAGCAAAGACTTTTTGCTAAAGAGGACATATCGTTCCAAGATGCCTTGAGAGAGGTTACTGCAGAAGAGGCAGCAAGTGGGGCAATCAAGAATATGAGGCCTATCAGAAGTACTCCAGAAGCTGTTTTCGTGCACCACGAGGGAGTCCAAGGAAGCTCGGAAGAGGAACCTGATGAAGAAGTAGATCATCTCTACCCAACCAAAGAAGGGAAGCAGAGGGAAGGCAAAGAAAAGTCTTCACCTGTACCCAAGTGCTTCGGGTGTGGAGGTCGCCACAAGAAGACTGACTGCAAGTTCCGTTCTGCAATCTGTAGAGCATGTGGGAAGCAAGGCCACATAGCAGCTGTGTGTCTGGGCCATCAGAAGAATTGCACCTGAAAGGTACCAGGGTCCCCAGCCAAAACAGGGTGGGTTTCTGTGCTTCATGAAGAAGCATTTATAGGACAGGCAAACACAAGCCACTCAAAAAGAAACTGTCACTTAAGGTGAAATTGCAAGGGGTTCCATTGGTCATGGAACTAGACACTGGGTCTACTCTTTCAATCATCTCCATTCACACATTCAGAAAGATTTGTTCTGGTAGTGGTTTTCAGGCCAAGCTCAGGCCTTCTAATATAGTGCTAACAGACTTTCAAAACTCCAAAGTGTGTGTTAAGGGGGAGGCCACCCTTAACGTACAGTATAAGGATTTTGAAGGTCCATTAGATGTATTGATAGTGGGGGGTGAGCGCACGAGTCTCATAGGACTCGATTGGTTTGAGGCCTTGGAAATACAAGTTACAGGGCTCAATAGCATGCAAACAGTAGATTTACAGGAAGTCTGCAAAGAATTTGCAGATGTTTTCAGCCCCCAGCTGGGCACATACAAAGGGCCCCCAGTCTCTTTGAAGTTGGACCCTACTGTCACTCCTATCAGAGTAAAGGCAAGAAGGGTACCTTTTGCTTTAAAAGGGAAAATTGATGCTGAATTGGACAAATTAATTCAGCAAGGAATTTTAGAATCTGTTGACTCCAGTCCTTGGGAAACTCCCATAGTCACGCCTCTTAAGGCTAATGGGGACATTCGCATCTGTGCAGATTACAAATGCACTCTCAATAAGGCATTGCAACAACATGCCTATCCTGTAGCTGTAGTCAGCCATATTCTGGCCTCCCTCAGGGGGGGGGGGATGTTTTTGCAAAGCTTGACTTAGCACAGGCTTATCAACAGCTGCCTGTTGATGAAGCTGCTGCTGTAGCACAAACCATTGTAACTCATAGGGGGGCATTCAAAGTCCAGAGACTACAATTTGGAGTAAACGTGGCTCCTGGAATTTTCCAAAGTGTAATGGAAAATACCTTGAGGGGTATACCAGGGGTTTGCCCCTATTTTAATGATCTCTTAATTGCTGGAGACTCCACCCAAAATCTGGCTGAGAGATTGAGGGCTGTCCTGCTGTGGTTCCGGAAAACAGGACTCAAGCTTAAAAAGGACAAATGTAAAATTGGGGTGCCGTCTACAGATTTTCTGGGATTCAAAATTGATGCCAATGGGATTCATCCTACTGAGTCCAAATTAAAAGCTGTCATGCAAGCTCCTAGACCTAAGTCCAAAGCTGAACTGCAAGCTTTTCTGGGACTCTTGAATTTTTATAATTCATTCATTTCTAACAAGGCTAATGTAGCTGAACCACTTCATAGGCTTCTGGACAAACAGGCAGTGTGGCAGTGGTCACAGGCACATGAAGCAAGCTTCAATGAGGTTAAGGCCTTGCTAACATACAACAATGTGCTTGCACACTTCAATGAAACTCTTCCTGTGTGCATCACTTGTGATGCTTCTCCTTATGGAGTAGGAGCAGGTACTCAGTCACCTCAGACCAGATGGAACTCAGGTTCCTGTTGCATATTACTCCAGAACCTTGTCTTCTGCTGAAAGGAATTATGCACAGATAGACAGGGAAGCCTTAGCTGTTGTTGCTGGAATTAAAAAATTCATGATTTTTTATATGGCAGACATTTCACGGTCTACACTGATCATAAGCCTTTGTTGGGGTTGTTTACCACTAACAAACAGACCCCCCACATCATCTCCCCCAGGATGCTCAGATGGTCAATATTCCTGTCAGCATATGACTTTTCTCTAATTCACAAACCTGGCAAAGAAATGGGCCATGCTGATGGCCTCAGTAGATTACCCTTACAAGTAGTAGAGGCTGACCCAACCCCGGCAATCAACATCCTTTTAATTCAGGCACTGCCTGAATCACCTCTAAACGCCAGGGATGTGGCTGCTGAGTTAGCCACAGATCTCACACTCTCTCGTGTCTTATCCTGGGTTTTGTCTGGATGGCCAGAGAGTTGTCCAGGCACTGAGTTTCAGAGTTTCTGGCTGAAAAGGAACGAGTTATCCACTTTCCAGGGTTGTCTGCTGTGGGGCAGCAGAGTTGTCATTCCTACCTCAATGAGGTCTAGGGTCTTAGGTTCCCTTCACAAGGGTCATCCTGGCATTGTACGAATGAAGGCGCTTGCGCGCAGCCATCTGTGGTGGCCTGGGTTAGACAAGGAAATTGAGGCTAAGGTGCACGCTTGCCACCTTTGTCAGTGCTCACGCCCAGAAATGCCTCAGGCTCCTGTGCATAGATGGGAAGAAACACAGTCTCCATGGTCTAGGGTGCACATCGATTACGCTGGGCCCTTTCAGGGTCAATTCTTCTTGGTCCTGGTTGATAGCTATTCAAAATGGCTTGAGGTTGTACTTGTCTCTTCCACCACCACTGCAAAGACTATCCAAGTATTGAGGGGGATTTTTGCTGCACATGGGCTTCCGGATGTTTTGGTGTCTGACAATGGCCCTCAATTCCAAGCTTTCTTACAGGCCAACATGATTTGTCACGCCACCTCTGCGCCCTTCCACCCTTCCACCAACGGGATGGCTGAATGGATGGTCCGCATCACCAAGGATGCTTTAAAGAAACGGACCTATGGGGACTGGCATCACAAGTTGGCTTACTTCCTCCTTGCTTACCACACTACACCTTCCACTTCTATGGGGAGAAGCCCAGCTGAACTTCGCTGGGGGCGCAAACTGACTACTAAACTTGACTGGTTGCACCCGGACAGATTGCCTCCTAGGGGTACACAACCCAGGGCACCGAGGCAATTGCAAGTGGGTGCCCCTGTATGGACCTGTAACTACAGGCCAGGTCACTTGTAGGTTCCTGCTCTAGTTTGCAAGGTTACAGGTCCTTTGTCCTACGAGGTCTCCTTGGATGACGGTCGTATCCTGCGACGGCATATCGACCAGCTGCGTACAAGACTGCACTTACCTTCAGAGACTCCTGGTTCTTTTCCAGGGGGTGAGGGGGACCCCTACAGGCAAAGGGAGGGGTGTTGGCAGCAACCAGGCCCCAACAGAGAGGCCACAGATGGCCTATCACAAGATTCCGCAAGTGTTCTGAACAGGAATTCAGGGGAACCAGCTAGCACACAGGCTACAGTGCATACTCCAGCCAGGGAGTCACCCCGGGGGCATAATCATTACACACATAAACCTTTCAGCACTCCAGTCAGGGAGAATAATCGGGAGCATCCTAATAACTCAAACATTGCAAGAGAGCTGGCACACAATCAATGCAATTGGCCCAACATCGCCACCGTCCCCAGAAAAGGACACTTCTACAGGGAAATGATAGAAGGGCCAAATCCAGATCCTGAACCCTCTGGTTCAACAGAGGGGGCAACTGAGTTTTGAGACAGTACTGAAATTACAGACAGTCCTACTATGGAACTGGGGAGTGGAGGAAGGCAGCCTCATGCTAGGTCCAGTGTGGGCTCGAGAGGCTCTTCAGAGTTGCCCAACAGTGGCAGCCTTCTAGAGGGGCCAGAACGCCTGCAACTAGGCAGGTCAACCAGGTTAGAGAGAGAGCAAAGTCCTGGTCTGACGAGCCTGGTGGGCAAGCAAGCAGGTCAGGAAATGGGGCATGGTCCACGGGGGCCACCAGGGTCTGAGAAAGGGGGTGAACCTATAGCCTCCTCTGGACAAGGTGTACCTGGGAATTATCAGGGCCTACGAAGATCACAGAGAGATAAGAGGTCTCCCAAATATCTTGAAGATTTTATAACTCTGCTGGCCAAGCAGAAACAGTAAGAGGGTGTTTCTGTGGAAGCCGGAAAAGGGAATACTGGGAATTAATCCCCAGAACAATAGCATGGTAGCATTGAGCAAGGGTGGGCACACTACGCTCATGTTGAGGTCGCGTGTAATTACTCATGTAGTCTTAGCCGGGGGGGAAGGGGTGTTGTGTCCTGAGTCTGCAAAGGCAGGCTCGGGACGTTGCAATGGTACATGCGCGAGGTGCGCAGCGCGCCTAAATGTTGTTTTTTGGCCCGGGAATCGTCTTTAAGAGAAGCTGAGAGGTTTGTTCTGCTCAGAGTTGTAACGGGGGCTACTGAAGACCAGTAAAGAGTTCCTGAAACCACAGAATGTCTCGCGCCGTCATTGCCATTAACCGAGGACTCAACATGAACCATGTTGATTCACAAGGAATCAGCATCTTTTTGATACTAGCCCCTGTAAACTAATTACCAAGGTAGAAAATCTTCAATATTTTATGTGTAATCAAACATTATGTTTTGAAGTTATATTTAAACTAAAATACATTTACTCAGCCTGGTGCTTTCTAGTTATCTTAGGAGCATGAGTGCCAGAATTATAAGATGGGAAATCTTGGCAAATCTAAAGTTATCATGGAGAGAAATAAAACCTAGATTATAATTTCTGTTATTTCTAACATCTCATCATACACTCACTCATTTACACACACACACACACACACACACACACACACACATTTGAGTTACAAATAACTTGAGGCAATGAACCTAACCAGTACACCTTCTTCCTCCTATTTTCCACCACAACAACAACCCTGTGAGGTGAGAGTGACTGGCCCAAAGTCACCCAGCTAGCTTTCATGGCTAAGGCAGACCAACGCATGGTCTCCTGCTTTTCATGCTAATGTATTAGTATAACAAGATATGTAGTCTAATAAAAGTATGATGTTTCCATCCTTGATCTAAATAAAGTTAGATTTAGAAATCCCTTACAGATGCAGAACCTGAAATAGATCAAATTGTACTATGGGGAAAAAGAGTAATCCCCTCCCTATTCAAGAATATGAATGTCCTGATTGCATCTCAGTTCTCTAACTGCGATCATAGATCTTTCCTGCATTCTTAGAGGAATAGTTTCCATTCTGACGCTCAGGGTATTTTGGGAAGAAACTTGTCAGAATCCTCCAGATTCCATGGCCAATGGCTATGCTATCTGTCTTATTTTGCCAATTCTAGTTCCAAACTATTTGGAAAATTGGACAGCCCAGAGTTAAAGAAGTGCTTTAGCTGTAGTATGATGATGTAATGAATTTGGGTACTTCTATCTCCGCTTTCCTTTTCCAGTAGCAAGGAAGTGAAAGCAGATTTTTGAATGATTATTTTCTAATGGTTTGTGGCCAATTTAAAAGTGCCATTTTTGTGTTGCACCTTTTCTCGCACCTACCTCTCTCTCTCTCTCTTTTTGTAGAGCAAGGGTCTGATATGAACTGGAACATGTTAAGAGCTGCATGGAAGAATGGAGCTAACTGATGCAGTGAAAAGCAGAAAGAGGTCCAGATTAAAAATAATACCTTAAACTTTCAGCTTTCACTTTTACAAGTTATTTTTCTTTTACATAGTTTCTTCCACCCAATTTCTTTCTGGAAATCAGAAATATCAAGATTTCTAAGTCTATTAAAATGGGAGAGTGAATTGCTGTGGTTGTGGGTTGCACAGAAATTCCTCCATGGAGTGTATCTGGATTCCATTTCAATATGTCCCAATTGTACGGGTGAAGCATGCTTGAGAACTTTATACATACGTATATGTATTATATATGTATGTATATACTGTATGTATATGCATGTATGTATGTTTGTATATATGTACACACACACACATATATATTTAGAAGACAAATTTGCCCTATTGATTGTATTAACAATGATATCCCCATTTTATGTTCGTCCCATTTTATTCTGTTTGGGGAAAATAAGCATGTAAAATCTATCACAAGCTATGCGGACTTGTTTTATTTTTCAGAGTCTTCTTCTCCCCAAATGATTTTTTTATACTTTCTTCTGTCCTTAAGCATTTTGGGCATTGTGTTCAAGGGAGCTGTGATTGTTTAGCTATTTTCAGTTTCCCCTGGGCATCAGCATTTAGAGACACTGAGTCTTCCTTTAGGATAAGCTGAGCTAATTTGCACAGCAGGGACTGTGCCATTCAATATAAGTTAAACTTAAGGTTAGGATGACAATGTTCTTTCTTTTCTTTTTTTGAGAGTGTCCAATTAGATTTCACTTCAATTATTTCCTTTATTTATGTCAGTCCTGAGTCTAAACTAGAGGTCAAGGCAAGGTCAATCGGAGAATCTGGTGCTGATGATGACAAAAGATGAAGAGCTACTCATTGAATATACTTCCCACAAAGGTAATTCGAATTGCTGCACACCTATTTAGACAACCAGGTGTAGCAGACAACAATTTTTCACACCTCTATTTTTCTTCCATTTTCTTCTTCAACATGATAGGGACATTATGCTGCAGCCCCAAGTCTTTCTATTTCTGATTTTAGCCAGGTATAACTTCTGTCCGAGTGATGCATTCCATTTAATTCTGTTCATAACATGAAATGAAACTTTGTTTAGGACTCTTTCAAGTCTTCTTGAGGTTAGATTTTTCAATTTTTTAAAGATGCATTTTTATTATCATTTTACAAAATTGTTGAAACAGCATTGAGCATTCTATTTTGGTAGAACACTGGCATTGAAGTATGAAATACTCAGCAAATAGGTGAGAAAAGATGAATACATAGAAATTGTTCTCTCTGGTATAAACTCTTGAAATGTTAATATACCTACAATTGTGCCCATCCCATTCCCAAAGGAGTCAGCTTCATGCTTCTTAAAAGAGATATATATATATATATATATATATATATATATATATATATATATATATATATATATATATAAAATGGAATTTATTGATAGTAAATTTAGAAGTTTGTATATAAAAGGGGAAAGTAATGGCAACATATTCTTATAGTTTTGCCCAATTGTAGAACTATTATATGCCTGACATCCTAAGAATGAACTCTCAAAGTTTTATTTGCTGGATAATATTTAGGCAGAAAGAGAATTTGGGAAAGAAAGTCACAGTACATTCACATTATATATGAGAGTATAATTCCTAGTATTTAAGTTATTTCACTAAACAATAGAGAAAATATAATGCAAAATAAGCTTTAAATTTATATATACATGGCAAATTATAAATAGTATTATAAATAGTATGAAGTACCATATCTCCTGTGTGAATAAACAAGAGCAAAAACAAAAGCAGAACAGTTATTGTGTAAGAAAATCTTACCTAACGGATGTTCATTTGCAGAATGCGATTGAGATTTTTGGACTAGTGAATGTTGAGCATATTGTGGAAACTGAATTTAGCTGGAGTGAAAGTCAATAGCTTTTCACAATCTCTTGTGCTGAGCTAAGTGATAATAGCATGCTAATCTTGGCAAATTTGAAAACAACATAGAAGAATCACTTCAAGTTGGACATTAGATGGAAGGTTTTCAGTAAAAAAAAAGCAAAAAGCAAATGAAACTAATTTCCTCTGAATCTCATTTCCTAATTTCAGTTAGTGCTGAGAAAAATGAACAGATTGCTCAAGACTTTTGTTCATCTTCAGGACAGCTCTTTAATAAAACATATTATGAACTTCACATAAGCAAGAGTGAATTCAGTGAGACTTTCCACAAAAAAACAGAAGTTGACAAACTTTTATTTTAGAACCATAACTTCTGAACATTTCCCTGATCTCATCATGTTCACCTATTTGTTCTCAAATCACTTTTTCTCGGGCTCTTATATATTGTACTGCTGTGGCTTGTAAAATGAAATTCAGACAATTTCATTCACCTTTATGTATTTCATATTCATAAACTGCTTTATAATTGTGGTACTTGTTTAAGAACTGCATATCTAATTTCTGATCATCTCAAATACTTTTTTGTATCATATTTATCATACACATTTGTATCATATTTGCAGGCATAACAGTAGCAGGACAAGAGAACCAAACTGAAATCACAGAATTATATTTGATGGGATTTGTAGGACTTGGGGATCTGCAAGTTCCTGCCTTCTGCCTCTTCTTACTTATCTACCTTGTTACCATGGTTGGGAACATCCTCATCATTTTGCTGGTTGTTACTGATTCTCACCTTCACATCCCCATGTATTTATTCCTGGGTAGTTTCTCTTTCCTGGAGATATGCTACAGTTCTAATATCCTTCCAATGATGTTGGCTAGTCTCATTCATGGTGGGAGAAAATTAATTTCTGTAACTGGCTGTATAACACAATATTATTTGTTTGGTCTCTTGGCAGTTGCTGAATGTTGTCTCCTAGCGGCAATGTCATATGATAGATATGTAGCGATCTGTAAGCCACTCCATTACACAACATTAATGAATGACAAAATTTGTGTCCAGTTTATAGTTGGATCATGGATCCATGGTTTATTTGTTATGACCTTAGTTTTATATCTAATGCACCTGTTAAAGTTAAAGTTCTGTGGGCCCAGTGAAATCGATCACTTCTTTTGTGAATTGAATCCAGTATTAAAGCTAGCGTGCAGTGAAACTTACTTAATTGAACTTGCAACTACTTTGTTATCTGTCCTGTGTATTTTGCTTCCTTTCTTTTTAACTTTGGCATCTTATGTTTTTATTATTTCTACTGTCATGAGAACGTCATCTGTCAGTGGAAGGAAGAAGGCTTTCTCAACCTGCTCCTCACATCTCATGGTGGTATCCATTTTCTATAGCACATTAATGATTGTCTACATTTTGCCCAAAACAGATGGCCTGAAAAGAATCAACAAAATTGTATCTTTATTTTATACGATTCTGCCCCCTTTGTTGAATCCCCTGATATACAGTTTACGAAATAGGGAGGTAATAGAAGCACTTAGAAAAGCAGTTGCTAAATTATATGCCATTGAAAGAATATACCACTGTAATCTAGTATGAACACAGAGAGAGAGAGAGAGGCACACACACAGAGATACACACATACATCTCTATCTCTATCTTATCTCTATCTCTATCTCTATCTATATATCATCTATATCTATCTATATCTTTCTTTATGTTGTGTTATTTCCCAATAAAATCAAGATTTGGGATTCTTTGAGAACACCATCACATTTCTTGATTTCTCCAGATTATTATGATTAAAGATTAGGGATACTAAAGAATTCTGCCATAATTTTGTCCTCCTCACCAAGAAAGTCAAACCAGGATGAATGGTATAAACAAGTGAATTTGGTTATTTTCATTTTATTCTGAGAAATAAAGATTCTGATGAGTTGTATGATGTCTCATAAATTGTATCAGTTGGGTTGAAAGTTTCTTCCTGTTTTAATTTTTAAGAAATCCAGCACATTTAGAAAAAAAGAAGAATTTTATAGAAGCTTTTTTTCCTCCTGCAGATCTTCCTGGATTAACCAAGTGATTATCTTTGGAAATATGGTTACACAAGCATCAAAGCATCTGATGTCTTAAATGGGAGGGTGGAGGCAGAGGTAGAATTGCTGCTGACTCTGCTGATATCCCACCAGTGGTGGGATTCAGATATATGAACAACCGGTTCTCTGTGTGGCTGCTGCTTGCAGAAGTCCGCTCTGGGCCTGGGCAACACAAAATTAGCTACCAGTTCTGCTGAAGTGGTTCAAACCAGCTGAATCCCACCACTGGGTATATAAACATATAAACATCTGACATTTACACAGAAGTTTGAAAGAAGCAGTAGGAAATTTCATGCCAATGCTAAAGCTGCTTTCATTGGGGAGACTGATCATGATCAGCAAAGACTCTTTTTATAAAAGCTCTCCATAGTTAAGAATTTTCACTTGTAAATATTGTATGCATGTTACATGTCATCTCTGAAACATTCTGCATGTAGGGAATTGTGATTCATCTGGTCATTGTTGTTCCTGTTGTAGTTGTTGTGTTGCTTTGGATGTTTGTATTGTTTGTGTGTAGTGATCTCCAGATGAAGTTTCATGGGTATCCATTTCTCTTGAAGACTTTTTATAAGTGTTTTTCTTCTGTTAATCTGGCTTCTGTGGTGTTGCAATGGGCTTCTGCTCTCCCAAACAGTGTTCTGATGCAGCTTTGTTTGTAGCATTTGGGGCGGTTGTTGTGGAAGTTGAAGATTTGATCTGTATGTGCAGTTCTTCATCCAGAGATTGCTACACACAAACAATATAAACACTCAAAGCAACACAACAACCATAACAGGAACAATAGTGATCAGACAAATATATACCAAATCCAGTGCAGCAACTGTGAAAAGAACTATGTGGACCAAACAGGAAGAAAACTATATATCTGAGTGTACAGACATTTCCTGGCTATGAAAAGACATGATCCATTATCCCTTTTGTCCATCCATGAAGACTCCAAAGGGCACAGGTTTGATCTCACTGGGACCATAGTTGTAAACAAACAGAAACCCCACCACACAGCAAAAATCACAACCTTCCTGAAGAAATCAGACCATGTCCCGACAACAACAGCCAGCCAAACAAACAACCCAAAACTAGACCTGAAAACAGACCAAGACTGTTCTGTAAACATGATATGTGTCAAAATTTAAGACATGATTCAAAGATTCATATTTCAGAGATGGTATGGGAACTTTAGAAAAAATAAATATGCTCTTGGTGAGCTAATTGATAACATCTAACAAAATTTGCCTGTCTGAAAAAAATTAATGGTCACTTCAGTTTGGACTTTAAATGTCAAATCAGTAAAAAACAGAGAAAACTAATTTCCTTCAAATGTCACTTTCTAATTTTAGTTCGTGTAGAAAAAGTGAATGGATTTTCAAAAAACTTGTTCATGTTCACAATAAAGGTTATTTAGTGGAACACTTACACTGAATTCTGTGAGCCTTGCCACAAATCAACAGAAAATGATAACCCAATGAACTTTAATTTTCTAACCACAATATCAGAATTAGTTTCACCAGTTTGTTCTCAAATAACTTTTTCACAGTTCCTCATATATTGTGTTGCTGTCATTTCTAATTATCAAATTGTTAACAGAAAAACTGTCATTCGCTTTTATGTATTTCATGTGTTACAACTGTGATAATTGATTATGAGATATAAGGATAAGAATTACATAAGTAACTTCTGAGCAGCTCAAATAAATTAGATACCATACTTTCAGAAATGGCAGAACCATTTCCAGATAACAAACAGAAATCATGGAATTCAGTTTGCTTGAATTTGCGGGACTTGAAGATCTATAGGTTCCTTTCTTCTGCTTGTTCTTACTTATTTACTTTGTTACTATGGTTGGGAACATCCTCATCATTTTGCTGGTTATTACTCATCCCCATCTTCACACCCCCATGTATTTCTTCTTGGGTAATCTGTCTTTCCTGGACATCTGCTACATTTCAAACATCCTTCCAATGATGTTGTCTAATCTCATCTATGATGGAAGAAAATCCATTTCTGTAACTGGCTGCATGATACAATATTATTTTTTGCTATTTTTGCAGTTGCTGAATATTGTCTACTAGAGGCAATGTTATATGATAGTATGTAGCAATTTGTAAGCCGCTGCATTACACAACATTAATGAATAGCAGAATTTGCCTCCAGTTTATAGCTGGATCACGGATTCATGATTTATTTGTTATGAGCATAGTTTTATATCTTATATATCTTATTTATCAGCTGAAGTTCTTTGACCCCACTGAAATTGATAATTTCTTTTGTGAATTGAATCCAATATTAAAGCTAGCATGCAGTGACACACACCTGACTGAACTTGCAACTACTTTGTTATCTATTCCATGTATTTTGCTTCCTTTCTGCTTGACTTTGGCATCTTATATTTTTATTATTTCTACTGTGATAAGTATATTATCTGCCAATGGAAGGGAAAAAACTTTCTCAGTCTTCTCACACCTCATGGTGATGTTCATTTTCTATAGCAGAAAACAATCATTAACAATCTTAATGATTGTTTATATGTTGCCCAAAACAGATGGCCTGCGAAACATTAACAAAGTGTTGTCTCTGTTTTATACAATCCTGACCCCTTTATTCAATTCCTTGATATACAGCTTACAAAATAGGGAGATAATACAGGCCCTTAAAAAAATAGTTGCTAAATTGTATGCCACTGAAAGAATACATCACTAATCTAATATGAATTTTGTTGTTGTTGTTCATGGTCTTTATTATTCCCAGTAAAACCAAGATTTGGGGTTCTTTGAAGACAGCATCACATGTCTCAATCTCTCTGCAATACTGTATTAGAAATTAGGGACATTAAAGAATTCTACCCTGAGTTTGTCCTCCTTACTTGAGAAAGACAAAGCAGGTATACACAAGTGAATTTTTTTTAGTGCTCATTCTACTCTGAGAAATAAACATTCTGATGAATTGTATTCATTCTTGTTAAATGTAAAGAAACATACATGTAAAACCTATCACAAAAGAGCACATTTATTTTAATTTTAATTTTATTCTCCTGTGTCAAGTGTTAGTTTGATGTAACAAAGTGCTACTTTGATAACACTTTCTCTTATTCCTAAGAAGCATTTTGGCATTTTTGCTTATTCTTCATCTGTAACAATAGTGTTTTCAAAGGAGCTGTGTTTGTCTGGAAATTTTCAGAGTCCCTTATACATCACCATCTAGAGATCTGTTCTTTTCCTTTAGGATAAATCAAATTAATTTACACACTGGGGACCATGACCTTCAACAGAAGACAAATGCAAAGTTAGGATGTTGTCTCTTTTAGAAACAGTGTTCAATTAGATTTTATTTAATTGGTCCTTTTATTTTGCTACTCCTGAGCCAATTCTAGAGATCAAGGTAAGATTCCATATACAATCTGGTGCAGATAGTAAGAGAAGCTCAGAATCTGCTCACTGAATGTCAGACTTCTGCAAAGCTAATTCAATTTTTTCTACACCTAAAAAAAACATAAGAAAGGTGTGGTATATTTCCAGACAATAATTTTTCCCAGCTTTTCTTCAATTTTCTTCTTCAAAGGAATGCTATGCAGCAATACTACATCTTTCCTTTTGTAATTCTGGCCAGCCAGACTTTCTCTCAGATTGATCTATTCCATTTAATTCCATTGTTACCACAAAATGAAACTTTATTTAGGACTCTTTTGAATCTTTCTAAAGTTTTAATTTTAAATTTTTAAATCTTTTTAAATTTGTATTTTTATCAAATTGTTGAACTAGCATTGGAGATTCTTTTTTTAATAAAAGAATGCCGATATTGTGGTATAGAAAAGATACTTACAGAATAGGTGAGCTGCTAATATATTAGTAACTATTTATAATTTGGTCCTTTGGCTGGAATTTCTGGGAAATATAATCCCAACCTATCTAGATGAGGCTGGGTTAGAAGTAAGAATTATACTGTTATGAAGTTCTAGATCAAATTTCAGATTCAATATTCTTTTGAAGCCTAACTTCTTATTTTTGTCAGATATGCTGTCTAATGCCTTCATTCTGAAGTAGCTCTCAGAAAGTCTAAGGCAAAATAACTTAAAGATGGTAAATTCTTCACAAAGGGAAAAACTTCATGCTTCCTCGAACCATTGTCTAATAGTACTTACTGAATAAATATTTAGAAATTGCTATATAAAATATGAAAAGGACAGGGATACCAGACCAGCATATAGTTTCACCTAACTGTATAGCACCTGATTACACATTTTGAGAATAAACCCTGAAACATTTTTTTCCATACAGAGAAGCATGTATAATGCATGTAGGAGACATTAATTGATGCCAATATTCAAGGTAGTCCATCAAACAATAAGAAAAGGTATTAGTATATACTGCATAATCCAAATACTAAATAAAGTGAAATACCATATTTGTAATAAGCTCTTACATGAACAAGCAAAATGAAAACACAAGCAAAGCAGTTTTTATATAAAATAATGCTCAATGGGATGCTTATTTGCAGAGTATGTTTGGGATAAATACACAACACTTTGTGAAATTGAGAATAACTGGTGGGAAGAAGAGCGTATTTTCATATTTCTTGTTCTTTACCAAACAGTGCTCCCTCATGTGCTCCAACAATTCCCAGAATTCTCAACTAACAATGCTCAAATGTTTCCTAAAATGAACTGTGGGAATTGTAGGATATAACTCTCTGGTGATAAGTGACTACAGACTGAACTGTTGACTTTAATTCATGTCATGTAATGTGAAACAAACCAAGCTGATTCTCAGATTTTCACCTTGTTGCATACTGTATAAGACATAACATATAAAATGAGAAATGAACCCAGCAAGTTTTAATTCTACATGTCT